TAAAAAAATAAAAAAAACTCTCAAAATATGTGGAGTTACCTGATTAAGTGGGTTATTTGGCGTTCCATGCTCAGTAGCTAGAAAACCAAGAACATGTCATGGATTGAAGAGAAAGTTAATGGGATAAAAGTTTATCAATCATATTTGCATGATAGAAGCTGCTGGAATACATTTAATCATATACCCAATCTGGAAAATTTAAAATGTAAACATACAAAAGATATACTTCCATATTATATTTCTGTCTTTGGTAAGTGCTTTGCAGACAATCACACATTTTTTTCCTCTTATTTTGGAAGAACTACCTGCAATTTTGTTAAAATGAATAAAATAATATAATGTTAGAACAATGCCCTTAAACCATGAACATTTAATGTGGATAAATTGGAAGTTGAAATAAGTGGAACATAGGACAGAGGAGAAAATTCAAAGAATATTGTGATCAAAATCGGAACTCAGTGAGAGTTCAACAGAAAGATCAGTGGAAAATGCACTCACACACCAACTTGAAAGAAAACAGTGCCAAATAATTGTGTCAGGAATAGAAAATTGCAAACTTTGTATGGAAAGTAAAGATTTACTTGCAGACCGGCAGCAATTAGGGAAGACAATTTAATCCGTCAAATTCGATTCCTACAGGTAACAAATCCGAACAGTTTGGTTTCGAGGATTAAATTTTGTATTTTTTTTACGGTTATGGGTAACCGTTGGGTAAATTGTTTGGTTTCGGGTTCGGTTATGGTTATAGGGGCATCCGTTCTCAATCTGTACGGAACCCGCCCCCGTTTTCATTTTTTAATAAAAAAATATAAAATATTTATATTTTTTTTTATAAAAGAATGAAATCCTTATAAATATATACCACCTTATCTGGCATACAGCCACATCATTTAAATTAATTAGAATTTAATTTAAATTAAAAACCATTTAATAAACCAATAATTAAAAAAAAAAAAAGCTAGAATTAAATGATGATTGTGGCATAGGAGGAGGCTTCTCCTTCCTTACCCGTTCAACTTCTTCCCCCCCCCCCTCCTTACCCGTTCAACTTCTTCCCCCGTTTCTTCTTCCACGCCAGTTCTTTTACTCTGTTTTTCAGGTCAGTCAAATCCACCACAATCTAAATTAAATCTGATAAGGCCAGGTTCATGCGCTCCCTTATTTTGATTATTGGTACGCATCTATGGATGCCTCCACTGTAAGTTTCCTGACATCCATCAATCTGCTTATTATTTTCCTTTCAACCTTTGTTAAACTAGGGTGCTCCTGGAGACACGGGAACGAATCATCACTCAAATCTCAGAAACATGACAAGGCAACTCTAGTGAGAAGCGAAAAGCATGACGGAGTAAAATCAAAAGAATAAATAAACCGAGCGGACATGGCTTAAACGCATACCTTCAAGTAGATGTCGATGGCTTTGTACAGCCCATCGTGAATTGGCCTTGCTGACTCGAGAATTGATTGTGACAACTCTACGAAACTACTGAGGTTAAGATTTGGGTCATGTGCAATTTCTGCAAGATACCCTTCAACCAGTCTACCAACACTCAACAACGTAAAAGTATCAGTCTGTTTTTAATTTAGATTGTAGTTGATTTAACTGACCTGAAAAAATAGCGTGAAAGAATTTGAGTGGAAAAAGAAACGGGAGAAGAAGTTGAACGTGGAAGGAAGGATAAGATTTCTCCTATGCTACAATCATTATTTAATTTCAGTTTTTTTTTTAATTATTTGTTTATTAAATGGTTTTTAATTAAATGATGTGACTATCTACATCATATGTCATATAAAATAATATATAAATATGGTATAAAAACATGGTAAGAATAGTATTATTGTTATTTTTTTTTTCTCCAGCAACTTTAATACTCTATAGACTAAAATAATAAAAATAATAATATTTAATTCTATCTTTTACATTTTTTCTTTTTTTTTTTTCTTTTACCTTTCTAGAGCACCCTTTCTCTCTAGAATGCTCTCCATTTTTTCCTCCTTCCCGTCCAACTGCCTCTGTGTCTCTCTTTTTACTTTCTCCCTCATCACCATTCTTTTTCACCACTTTCTCCCTCATCTTCAAATTCCTTTTTTTTTTTCATTAATTCTCAACAAAAGCTTCTGATTTGTCATATGGGTTTTTTTTTTTCCTAAACTTTTCACAAGCTTTTGAATTTCATTTGGGTTTTGGCAGATTGGTATTTTTCTTCTGGGTTTTGGCTGGCATCGTGGAGTTTGCCGACGATGTCCCGGCGGATGAAGGTGATGGTCGAGAACGATATTGGGAGTTGACGAAGTCGAGGATCTGAATAGAGGAGAAGCACTGCCTTTTGACAGCGAGCTCGACGATAAACTAGAGATGTGCACGGGAAAAGCAGATATGAGGTCTCATAATTTTGGGTTCTGGGCAAGGAGAGAGAGAGAGAGTAGGAGAGAGTGAAACAAAGAGCGGAGAACGGAGGACGAGCAGGAAGTCACCCTCGCGATTTTCTCTGGGCTTACGAGTCCGCCCAATTTCGGGGATCCTGGTTAAGACCTTGTAAGGAGGTGTTTAATCCGAGCGAATCCCACCTAATCTCATTAAACCAAATCCTGCAGCAGACCAAACAAGGGACTATAGTCCAGTCCAGTCCAGTCCTCCTTAATCCTATCAAACAAACGGGCCCCAAAGGTCTTGAGCGTGCAGTGCACACTTCAAAGCCTTTGAGTTCTTCCAGAAAATATACCTCTTGAGCGTGCAGATTGTGTAGCGCAGACTGCAAACTTCAAAGGTCTCTATCTTTATTCTAAACATTTTAATGCTATCAATCAATCATGGAATTTGGAAGAACTCCCAATGTCAGAAAAGATGGTCAATACTTCAATTTTGGGAAGAAAAACCTAATTGTTTTCTCTTACAAATTAGTAGCTGCAGATATTGCTTCAAGCCTTCAACCTTGGCTTCATCTGCGTCAGCGAACGGTTCCTTGCCTCCCTCTCAGCTCTGCGATCCTTCTGCCTCCTCTGACTCTGTCCAGTATTGGTCCTAGTCCTAGGTAAGATCACCTCCTTTCTTATGCACACAACCTGTTTGATGAACTGCCTCAACTGATAAAGCTTGCATTTTTATTGAATTTTGGGATTTTTGATGTGCAGCCACATGTTGATGTCAAGGGTTTCCCAGAAGAACCGATCAATCCGCTCGCAGCGAACAGCGAAGGCACGTCGGGGAATATTTACTTGTAGAAGGTTAACTTTTTTAATGGAAAAACCGTTACCCGATGGGGAATCCGCTACCAGTTACGGGGAATACCCGTTCGGGTTTTTTACGGTTTCAGGTACGGGGGAAACAAACGGATTCAGTTATGGAAATGGCACATCCGAACCCAATCTGCCCCGATTGCCATCCCTAGCAGCAACAAAAGCAAACCAAATACAATGGGAGTTACTGCAATAGTGAGACGGAGGGAGAGAGATTGAAGATGAGTGATCAGTTAAAGCTATAATTTTTTAAGCATGTTCTGCAATATGAATCATTCAGCTATCACAATAACATGCTTGAAATAAACAAAATCCATAATCGTGGTATAAAAGAAAGGAAAAAAACAGAGATGCAATATCACCAACATTCATGATCATTATCCAGAATTGCTAAAGTAAACAGAAAATCAAATTAACACCTCTCTATTTCTAATCCATCTTTATATTGTATTGTGATAAGGTTTATACTAAACAATGTTTCCACCAAAATTTAATAACAAAAAGATCACAGTAGAAGTTAACATCTACCTCTTATATGTTGATCCTACCAATCCCCTGCATACTTGATCTCTTTTAAGTCCACTGGTTAAAAGAAAAAAAGAAACAAAACACAAAATTTGTAACACAATTTGAACAAATAAAGAGTTCTCAATTAGAGAAAACTTCAGTTTCATGTAAAGAAATTGTGTTCTAATTTCAGGGCTTAACTATGAAATATTGGGATTTGTGTTTAGCTCAAATAAGTAAGATAAACTGATAAAGAAAAGATAAAAACAAAATCTATATCGATTTGATTATCCATTCAAAAGGACATTTGAACAAAAAGATTTTTAAGCATCCAAACAGCCATTAAACTAAAAAATTAGTTAACTAATCTTTACATTTGAATAGTGTAAGTAGATATTTTTCTTACCAATGCATCAACCAATATGCAGTGCAAATGAGAAAACCAAATACCAGATTTGAAAACTTTTTGTCTCCAGATTTTGCTAACACAAACTCTATATTTTTTGGTAGCTTCAAATGGATCCAAACTTTGGATTGGAAATATACTCATTTCGGTCTGAAACTAAAAATTTATATTTTGTTAGTACAACAATGTATAAATGCATTCATGTAGCATGTCTCCAAAATAACAATACTACCCATTCAAAAAGGCAAAAACAAAAAACTAAAGTGAAATATTAAAACTTGAAAAGGAGATTTTGATTTGGTAAAAGAGTTTAGTTGCTTCCAAAAGTGAAAGCGATCAATTTGTTTTCTATGAAACTGTAAAAAAAAGTAGCATAACAAATAAGGACACTATGGATGATTTGTTTTCTATGGATATAGCTGATGTTGATCATAGTTTTGCTCAACATAAACAGAAAATATGGTAGCTTTCAACCACATTGCTACAGAACAGAAAATCGTTTTCTATGGGGTGCCCCACCGAAACTTGTATAGAAACAGTATCACTCATGTTTCATGACCAACTTTCGATTGTATAAAAACAACCAAATAATCCTCAAAGTTGAAAGAATAAAGGAAGAAGCAAAGTTTACAACAATGTCAGCAGTTGCTTGGATTAGTAAAAACAACTTTATGCACATTTGTGGTTAAGGCTACACTCTTTCGCATTATACCTAGGCATTAGGCTAGTCAATTTAATCATGAGTTTAGAAATTCATTGACGTCAACGTTGAAGCACATTTGCAAACATTCACAACACATTGCAAATTGTTGCTCTGGGTCACCACCAATCAAAGACCCTGCGCACATAAATATGTGAGCATGAATGAATCTTTGATACAAAAATAAAATTATTCTCTTAGTTCCGTGAAAATAAAGTAACAAAACTTTTGCCATACTAACCAAGTCCCTTTAATGTCGACAGATTCAATATTCACCCTATCAATCAATCTCAGAATAGCTACTCCCAGAATAAGCAAACAATTTACAATAAGACATCGATAGTAATACAATTATATCTATTAAATACAAACTAAACAAATAACAGTGAGATCTGCAACTTTAACAGAAAAGAAAGAAGTAGGATTCTCTCCTCTGCTATTCACATCTCTTTTTCTCTCCTCCTCTCACATATTGTTTTTCGTCTTATTGTCTTTATAAAAAAAAAAAATTAATATAAGATGTTGACGTATTAAACCGTAACTGTTCAAATAAAAGAGGATTGAAGGGGAGATAAATTAGGAAGGAAGAGAATCCTCCTTCCAAAGATAAAAAACATATTGACAAAATAAACATCCTGGATCCGGTGTAGCAGTGTTTAACGGTGAAGCAGATCCGACCGTCCAATTAACCTCGTGCAAAAACAACAAACATCATCGTCTGCCGTTAGATTCCACAAACAGAAGCTGAATCCTCCGCCGTGAACGGGTATTTTCTTTCTACAGATTAGATTAGGGTTTGTCAAATTCGAAATCGAATTTCGGCCGGACTCATAATCTCCGGTCAGTTTCCGATGCTGGCGAAAGGAAGAAAAGCTTCAGGGCGAGGAGAGGCCGTGGCGGCGAACTACGCGTTCGGGCCGCTCGAAGATGATTTCATCATCAAACAGAGACTTCTCACTCGGACCACAACCACGAGAGGCGAACCGCCGTTGAAGAAGCTCCAGAAGAAGTTCACGTCCCTGTTCGTCGAGCTCGACAAGAACGAAGACAACTTCGCCAACCGCGACAAGCTCGCCAAAGCTTTCCTCCAGGAGCTCAACACGTTCGAGATTCCGCTCCTTAAGAGCAAGGCGGTCGTGGATGCGAATCTCCGGGAGAAGCACAACTTCGACGAGCTGAGGGAGGAGATTAACCGGCAGATTGTGCTGGCGAAGGCCGACATTGAGACGCTCAAGGAGCAGCTCGAGGAGAGTAAGGTCGAAAGAAGGCACAAGGAGGAGTGTGAGGTGATCAGGAAATTGATTGCTACGCACCCGCCGCGGTCTGAGACGCTGAAGATCATATCAGAGTTGGAGAAAGAGATTGCGGCATTGGATGCGGAGAACACCGCAAGTTCGCGGACGCTGGAGCTGAGGAAGAAGCAGTTTGCTCTGCTCCTGCACGTGGTATGTGAGCTATATTGAATTCCCGATATGTTGTGTGCATTAAGCAGTAGAATTAGAACGCTTTAAGAAAGTGGTGTGATTTCCGGGGCATGAATTTCAATTTGGAAAGCTTTCCATTATTTGTAGTGCGACATTCACATTGTTAGGCAGATGTCAAGGATCGCAAGGTAAGTGAATTTCACCATTCTATCACTAACGGGTCCGTTGTAAATTTAGTTAAAAGGACTCCACGAAGAATAACGCTGGAGCTCCCCGAGCTCCGATCAACCCCAAAACCTAACAAAACCTAGACATATTATATACCAAATTGAAGCTACGGAGGAGAGGATTAGAAATATACCAATAATTTGCCCTGCCGTGGCCGGGAAGTGGCCTTAAAACGGCCCAAAAGCCGTCGAACCCTCGCCGGAAAACTGAGTTTCTTGCTTTCTCTGTTCCTGTGCAAATCCGACGTTTAAATCGCAAACTCTAGGTTATAATTAAACCACCATGACGAAAATGAAAGAATCTTAAGCATCCCGAGGCTTACCCAGGTCGGAGCACTGTGAAATCTCGCCGGGATGTATGGCGATGGTGGCTGCCATTGCTGCAGCTGTGCCTCGAGCAAAGAGGAGAGAGAGCGGGACGAGGGGAACGGGGAGGTGCAGGGTAGACAGTGATGGTTGTTGGTGGCGGTGAAGCTCGCCGGAGGGGCGAGGCAAGGTGGTGCCTCGGGTCGTTGTTGTTGTTGCAGAGGGAGGAGGGAGAGAGACGAGGGAGAGTGTTCCAGAGAGTTTCCGAGAGATTAGGAAGAGAATTGACACGGGGAAGGAAGGGAAGTGGGGTCTGGGCCCCACGGGCCACAAAATAAAATAATATAAAATATTTAAAATATCTCATTAGAAAACATTTAAATAATATACAAAAATCATATAAAATAATTAAAATAGCAATTTCTAAGAAAAACATCTTTCGGATTCGTAAACCGTAAAGTTATAGAAATGATCCTTCAACTCTTAACACTTGTATCAATAGTTTTTTCAGTATGATTCATCTTGACGGAATTCTAACAAAGTTGATAAAAAAGATTATAACTTACGTTTTGATGATTTAAGGGACCGATGATCATAAATTTTTAGTTGATAAACCATTACTCTAATTGGGTTAAAGTTGGAAGTTCATTGCTACAATTTTATCAATGTTTTGAAGATGTATGAGATTGTAATTTCAAGCAAAAGTGAGGGGTAATGCAATAACCCATAAGCTAAAGAAGAAAAAATAATTGGTAGCATGTGCTTTTGATGCGTTGATCTGTCCAAAGTGACTAACGAAAGTTGAAAAAACCCTATTTCTCACCTCTTTCTGTTTCACCTATACGCCTAAACCACACATAAATTAAAGAAGAAAAAATAATTGGCAGCTGTGCTTTAATGTGTTGAATCTTGTCCAAGCCTAACAAAATTAAAAAATAGCCTCTTTCTCTCCCATTTCACTTTCACCTTACACACCTAAACCAACTTGAAATTTCCTCGTCTCTTACACGAAGCTAGCCTCTCTCTACCTCCTTTTATATGTTGATTGGTTTGGAGTTTTTTCGTTTAAAGAAAAACGAAAAAGAAGTTGTCAATAACTCGGTAATTAATTTCTTAGAGGAAATAATGGACAAGAAGAATTGATCCATTATTATTGTATTTCTAATTTGATTAGGAGTCATTAATTATTACTACAAGAGATATGATTGTATATACATTACCACCTCCAAAAGGGAGAAGAATAATAGAGAAGAATGTTTGAAATCCTAAAACTAATTTTATCTTGATCTACTTACTATGAGGTCTATGATTATCTACAAAATATAATTTAAAATAATAAATAAATATTGGTGGGTAGGGTGTGATATCTGTGGTGGAGAGAGGCTAGGAAAGATTTGAGCTACAATAACAGGAGGAATAGGTGTGTGCTAGACGAAGGTGATAAACAGTGAGATATACGACTGGTGAAGGGCTCATAAATTAAAGAAGAAAAAAGAATTGGCAAGCATGTGCTTTGATGCGTTGAATCAAAGTCCAATCTGATTAACAAACATCAACAAAAACATCTCTCTCTCTTATTTCAGTTTCTTACCTAAAACACCTTAAACCAATTTGAAATTTCCTCGCCTCTTACACGAAGCTAGGTTCTCTCTACTTTGATTGGTTCGGTATTTCTTTGTTTAAAGAAAAACGAAAAAAAAGTTGTCAATAGTAAAGGACACTAACACAAAATTAAACAAACTCACCGTGTCATCAGTCATTCAATTAAACAAAGCAAAGAATGCGAGAACAAAACATCCTCAAGTCTTTCTTGGAAATTATATATGATTCCTTTCCCACCTTGAAAGATGACACTCCAAGTACTTTCGTCGTCTTCTCTTCTACTTTTTTTTTTCTCAGACAATGGTAGTGGAGCGAACAACGAGATGAAGGATGAAGGGAGAAAAAAAAGTGTTGATATATTTTCTCAGACAATGGTAGACATGCAATAACAAAAATAAACAGGGACAAAATCGTCAATGCGCTGTGCTTATGAGCAGTATCCCTTGCCCTCACTAATGTTTTCGCATGGTCCTAAGCACTCATTGAAAGGGGGCATGATTTTCAATTTGGAAAGCTTTCCATTATTTGTAGTGCGTGTGCCATTCAAATTGTTAGGTAGATCTCAAGGATTGCAAGGTACGTGAATTTGACAATTATATCATGAGTTTTTATCACAAATGGTTTCTGAAATTGATCTATCCCATCAAAATAAATGTTGTAAATCAATGTGGTCATTCGGTTACAATTCTATAAAAAATTATATTATGTGCTAACGTGTCATATAAATGGATCCGACACATTTAATTAAATATTATTATGTGAATTAAAAATATTTAAACAATGGAAAACCAAATTTTATTTTTTATAATTAAAAACTTTAAAAATAGAAAAAAGAAGATAATAGACTGTTAATCGTCTTATTTCCCGTGAATTTGGGGCAATGGAGTCCATCGTATTAAACACTGCTCACTATTTTCCCTTTCCTCCTCTTTCATTGTCCCTCCTTCATCCTCTCTGTTCAAAAGCCACCAACTCTCTACTTCTTCTTCACTCTTCAAATCGAATCTCCCGTCGAAACCCAGAAGCCATAAAAGCGTGGCAGTTTCTCTCCATTTTCCTCGGCACCTCCGTCCTCACAAAAACGCTGACTTCCGCCGCCGATTTCTCCGCCTTCGGAGATAACAATCCCACTTCTTATCGCCCTCGCCTTCTTCTTTGCCCAAGGCTTCATCAAGACCGGACTCCAATTTCGAATTGCTTACCAGGCTCATCGCATTATCAAGATCGGACGCCCTAGGCTTCATAAGATCGGACTCCAACTTTGAACCCAATGACCAAACCTAGAAACCGCCGTAGATATTTTTAATATCTTGGACTTCATTGTCCCAAAATCACAAGAAGAAGATGATGAACAATGTTCAATCATCTTCTTTTTCTATTTCAAAGTTAAAAAAAAAAAATATATATATATATATATATATATTGTTTTTAATTGTTTAAATACATTTAATTCGCATAATAATATTTAATTAAATGTGTGGGACCCATTTATGTGCTAACATAACAGAATTTTTTACGGAATTATAACGGTATGATCACATTGATTTGAGACACCCTTTTTCAGGGACTATATTGATCGATTTTTAATTTCAATGACCATCTTTATGGGATAAGTAAATTTCAGGGACCATTTGTAATAAAAACCCTTATATCACTTGTTGATGCACAAAATCAGCGAGGACTTTGGTACAACAGAAAGTGTCAAGTTTGTGACCTTCGCTAGATTGCTCTGGTCATTAGTATGGATAAGTATGTAAATGAATAGAGACAGGGAAGCAAACAACACAAGAGGTACGTGGTTCACCCAGATTGGCTACGTCCACGGAGTAGAGGAGTTCTCATTAGTTGTGAAGGGTTTACACAATTATATAGGTTCAAGCTCTCTTTTAGTAAGTTCTAGTGAATAGTTTAGTACAAATGACATTAGGGATTATTGTGGGAGAATGATCCCCTTTTATAGAAGAGAGTTTCTAGCTTTGTTCTGACATTGACACGTGTTGTGTTGTGATTGGCCTCTGATATCGACACGTGTTGCGTTGTGATTGGCCTCTGATACTGACACGTGTTGCATTGTGATTGGCCTTCTGGTTGGAGGAAAAGTCTTGTGGGTCCTTGATGGTATAGTGTTGACCAGTGCTCAATAGTTTCAGGATTGGTCAAGTATGGTACAAACAGTACTCCTTAAGTTCCCTGAGTGAGGGAAGCTCCTCAATTGAGGACTTGCAAGATCCAAGCCATTGAGTAATCACAAAACTTCCAAGTACCGAAGTGTGGTGTCGCCTTCACTTGCCTTCTCTATCTTGTAAGTAGATGTGACATCTTCTCTTGGAAGTACTTTTCCTTCATCCAGGAGTGGTATCTTTAGTTGGCGTTGACGCATAAGGTAATGTATCATTTTCATTTGAAGCTTACTTTTAGTTTCAGGTTTGGTCAAGTGCAATACAAACTATATAGTAGAAGTCCCCCAAGTCTCTAAGCGAGGAGATCTACCGAAGAAGGTGACAGACAAGGTAAGCAATCAGAGTTCCAAGCAATCAGTCTCAAATCGGTAGGTTGATCTTGGGTTCCGGCTGATTGTGCTCATTCTCCTTGTCCCTCATTTAGCAACAAGGATAAAGAGAAGAAATAGGGAGAATAGATGATATGAGGTACTCTTGTTTGTGGAGAAGACGGACGAATCGGCACGTGCTTTGTTGTACTTGACTTTCCATATGTGTATTCTTGAACTGGGCTGGAGGGTTTTCAGATTTCCTCCAAATGAGCGAGCCGACTCCAGAATTTGAGGGTCAAAACAAGTCCGTCAAATCAGGAGTATGTTCGATCCTGATGATATGGGATACTTTTGCTGTTTAACAAAGTAATGGATGTGGTATGGCAAGGCTTTGTTCTTCAACGACGGTGCTAGCAAAAGACTGTTGAGGCTTCTCGATCTCTTCAATTAGAGCAATGATGCCGAGCTTGGATTTGACTTAGACTCCTCCGTCTGGATTGTGTGGTTCCACAGGAAGGGCAGTCATGCTGTAGTGATATGTTCTAGCTCGTCGTTGAACCTTCTGCTTCAATATTTTGTATAGCAGAAATG